TCCTATGTTCCTTCTCTCTCAGCTCACCCTGTCCTATGTTCCTTCTCTCTCCGCTCACCCTGTCCTATGTTCCTTCTCTCTCCGCTCACCCTGTCCTATGTTCCTTCTCTCTCCGCTCACCCTGTCCTATGTTCCTTCTCTCTCCGCTCACCCTGTCCTATGTTCCTTCTCTCTCAGCTCACCCTGTCCTATGTTCCTTCTCTCTCCGCTCACCCTGTCCTATGTTCCTTCTCTCTCCGCTCACCCTGTCCTATGTTCCTTCTCTCTCAGCTCACCCTGTCCTAAGTTCCTTCTCTCTCCGCTCACCCTGTCCTAAATTCCTTCTCTCTCAGCTCACCCTGTCCTAAATTCCTTCTCTCTCAGCTCACCCTGTCCTAAGTTCCTTCTCTCTCCGCTCACCCTGTCCTAAATTCCTTCTCTCTCAGCTCACCCTGTCCTATGTTCCTTCTCTCTCCGCTCACCCTGTCCTATGTTCCTTCTCTCTCAGCTCACCCTGTCCTAAGTTCCTTCTCTCTCCGCTCACCCTGTCCTAAATTCCTTCTCTCTCAGCTCACCCTGTCCTATGTTCCTTCTCTCTCCGCTCACCCTGTCCTATGTTCCTTCTCTCTCAGCTCACCCTGTCCTAAGTTCCTTCTCTCTCCGCTCACCCTGTCCTAATTCCTTCTCTCTCAGCTCACCCTGTCCTATGTTCCTTCTCTCTCCGCTCACCCTGTCCTATGTTCCTTCTCTCTCAGCTCACCCTGTCCTAAGTTCCTTCTCTCTCCGCTCACCCTGTCCTATGTTCCTTCTCTCTCAGCTCACCCTGTCCTATGTTCCTTCTCTCTCCCGCTCACCCTGTCCTATGTTCCTTCTCTCTCCGCTCACCCTGTCCTATGTTCCTTCTCTCTCCGCTCACCCTGTCCTATGTTCCTTCTCTCTCCGCTCACCCTGTCCTAAGTTCCTTCTCTCTCCGCTCACCCTGTCCTATGTTCCTTCTCTCTCAGCTCACCCTGTCCTATGTTCCTTCTCTCTCAGCTCACCCTGTCCTATGTTCCTTCTCTCTCCGCTCACCCTGTCCTATGTTCCTTCTCTCTCCGCTCACCCTGTCCTATGTTCCTCTCTCTCTCCCGCTCCCCTGTCCTATGTTCCTTCTCCCAGCTCCACCCTGTCCTATGTTCCTTCTCTCTCCCGCTCACCCTGTCCTATGTTCCTTCTCTCTCCGCTCACCCTGTCCTATGTTCCTTCTCTCTCAGCTCACCCTGTCCTATGTTCCTTCTCTCTCCGCTCACCCTGTCCTATGTTCCTTCTCTCTCAGCTCACCCTGTCCTATGTTCCTTCTCTCTCAGCTCACCCTGTCCTAAGTTCCTTCTCTCTCCGCTCACCCTGTCCTATGTTCCTTCTCTCTCCGCTCACCCTGTCCTATGTTCCTTCTCTCTCAGCTCACCCTGTCCTATGTTCCTTCTCTCTCAGCTCACCCTGTCCTAAGTTCCTTCTCTCTCCGCTCACCCCTGTCCTATGTTCCTTCTCTCTCCGCTCACCCTGTCCTATGTTCCTTCTCTCTCCGCTCACCCTGTCCTATGTTCCTTCTCTCTCCGCTCACCCTGTCCTATGTTCCTTCTCTCTCCGCTCACCCTGTCCTATGTTCCTTCTCTCTCAGCTCACCTTGTCCTATGTTCCTTCTCTCTCCGCTCACCTGTCCTATGTTCCTTCTCTCTCAGCTCACCTGTCCTATGTTCCTTCTCTCTCAGCTCACCCTGTCCTATGTTCCTTCTCTCTCCGCTCACCCTGTCCTATGTTCCTTCTCTCTCAGCTCACCCTGTCCTATGTTCCTTCTCTCTCCGCTCACCCTGTCCTATGTTCCTTCTCTCTCCGCTCACCCTGTCCTATGTTCCTTCTCTCTCCCGCTCACCCCTGTCCCTATGTTCCTTCTCTCTCCGCTCACCCTGTCCTATGTTCCTTCTCTCTCCGCTCACCCTGTCCTATGTTCCTTCTCTCTCCGCTCACCCTGTCCTATGTTCCTTCTCTCTCAGCTCACCCTGTCCTATGTTCCTTCTCTCTCCGCTCACCCTGTCCTATGTTCCTTCTCTCTCCGCTCACCCTGTCCTATGTTCCTTCTCTCTCAGCTCACCCTGTCCTATGTTCCTTCTCTCTCAGCTCACACGATCCTATGTTCCTTCTCTC